ATTCAGAGCAGGGTGGAGGAGGGTGCGGCGGCGGGGGGGAGGTCAGGACGGGGGGGGGAAGCTATTGCATTTTGTCTTTTCCAAACACAAATGGAGGTCATTTCCTGCAACTTCAGTTCTACATTTTCTGTACAACTGCAGATGTATAAGGCAGTAGAAAGGTTCAAGATCTGTACTTAATTATCCTCATGTTCAAAAAAAATTCTACCCTTAATTTTGAAAAAATTGGGCATAGGTTCCCCGGATGACCCCTAACCGGGGGGCCAACGGTGCTTCCACAAGTTCAACAAGTGAAAAATACATGATACAAAATGTACATGTATTTACTACCTGGAACTTGGAGCAATTTATTCCAAAGATGTTAACTGACATTAATATATTAAAAACTAAACCAAATCCTATTTCTCAAACAAATCACATATTGACACAGCTGAACAAATAAAAATGTGATCATGTTTATAAACTCCACTCAAAAACAATTTTTGAGAGACACTCGGGTCACGGTACTAAGCGTGATAATCTCTAATATCTCATCTGATTCTCCCAATAGGGTCTTTACAATGACAGCATCCAACCGCACATACATAGAAACAACAATATTACACAAGAAACCAATTAATTTGGAAAATTTCTCAGTAATGTTTGAAAATTAACCTTACTAAAATATAACTGAATTTTTATTTCAGTTGTAGCCGAAAAAATATTTTCATGCGTTTAAAGTATCGTTTTAGCACTGTAATATGTACTTATTACATGTATCTATACATTTGGATGCTATCTTGACCTTTGACCATTGTTATTGTGAAAACAGGTCGGCCATGTTGTCTTTCTCGCCGTGAATTTTCGAGCCGTTTTTTCGAGCAAATTTCAACCGTTTTAAACATTTTACGGCCTCAAAAACTCATATAACGAGGAAAACAAGTTGTAGTTGTTATTTTCATGCGTAACATTTCTTCTGGGGATGGATTATTTTTCCGTCGAGCTGCCGAAAACTTAGCGCCATGCCGCAACCATGCGATCGGGCGCGGCCGGCCGGCGGGAGTTTTACTTTGTATCGGTGAGCTTTCGCGATGTAAACAAAGACAGTCGGAGTTGTTTACATGAAAATTTTGTTGTGAAACGCCAGCGGGGTGTCAGATTTTCTACCAATGACAACGTTTTCTTTGTGGCGTCATGGCGAGATCGACAATTCATCGTCAATTCACAGGATTGTGCCGACAATGGAATTGAATAGCGGCCCGATCCGTGCAATTAGCGCTCGATCCACGCCGCCCGACCGAAGAAAATTGGAATGACGAGCACATTTATCGGGGATAAAATCCCCAATTTTGAAAACCGACCGCTAGCCGCTCGAAATTTTTGGTCGGCCCAAAAAAGGCTAGGGTCGGGGGCTTTTTCATAGGGTCGGTCGGGTAACCGGAAACACAACATTTTTTTTCCTAGGCCTAAACATAATTTAACTCATAGGCATCATACGTAGAGATGGGAAGATAACAACGATGAGACGGAATTCGACCGGTTTCGACTTTATTCAGTCTTTCTCAAGAATGAAACTCATAGGCAATTCAAACTTTACAACTGGATGAATTTACTTCCAGATACATGTATCAAAGAAAGCCAGAGTGAGTTGACAGGGGCTCTGCAAAGGTTGGAAAATCTGACTGGCTGGACATGGTCACCACAACGGAACAAAAGTGTCTATTAAATGAAAAACATATAACCCAAAAATGTTTTTGTGCGGCCAATTTTCTAGGTCGAGTGCCCCAGTGCACCTAATGTATTCCCAAAAATGAATTTTGAGCCCTGAAATTAAAGGACATTCACTGGCTATCCTTGATATGCACATTTTTTAAAATTTCACACTTTTATATTTATTCTTTTAAGAAATTAATTAGCTCAGATAGGCAAGAAATGAATACACCATTACAACTCTCACCTCTAAGCAAGGCCATGGAGGTCCCAGAGTGTAACCTGGTCTTCCTGGCAGCGCAAAGTGAACATCTGTGTACGTTAAACATCATGTCAGAGTCATGCAGCAAACTTGTACTCATTATAATTGTCATACGTGCATGTATGCCACATTCTAACCCTTGTCCTGCTGTGCGCAACATATGTCGCTTGGCACATACAGTACCATCTATATAGCACCCTGTATAGGTACGACTTGGGGGTATTTCACGTGCAACGCATCACACCGCAGCGAAAGGCAATGAATGCGGAAGTAACTATGCCACTGTAGGGCAAAAAATTTGGGGGTCTATGATCTAATTAAGACATGAAATTATTGAAAAATATTGTGCCAGGAATGCCAGCAGGACAAGGGCTAACATTGCCTTCATACAGCCTCTTCCACTACTGTTGGAATCAGTATCCTCAACATCAGCTCACTAAAGTATATTGTTACTTTAAGGGTTCTCAAGAGAAGTAATTGTTGCATCTTAATCTACTACCTTCTATTCATAGGTATTAGATGAAGGGACATTGAATAAATGTAGAAAGTAAAGCTGAAGAATCTACTGATTCAATAATTCCAATAGGCTCTTCCTGCAGTACCTTCAATCATTAATACGGGGCACTGTAGTGTAGGCATGTTCTTGAGGGTGGCCTTATTGTCACAAAAAAGTATAGTAGACATGACAGGACTATCTAATAACAGGTGTTACAGGTGTTCTGTTAACTAACCTTGTTCTCCTCTCTCAAACTTCTCCAAAGCTTCTTTATACATCTGGTTAGCTGAAAATAAACAAATTTGCAATATTTTCATTCTAGAAACAACCAATCAACTCAGTAAGTAAATTCTACCCATGACAAGCTCTCATAAATGTAAATATGTATATAGATTTCATTGTTAAACTATGTGGCGTCGGGTGGCGTAGTGGTAGATCATTCGACTATGAACTGGGAGACCCGGGTTCGATCCCGAGTCGTACCCGGTACATGTCTGGACATGCGCCCCGACGTTGTGCCCTTGGGAAAGGCACTTTACACGACTTTCCTCACTCCACCCAGGTGTGAATGGGTACCTAACTTCGGTTGGGGATGCCGTATTGAGGTCACCTTGTGGCGCTGAATGGCAGCCGCAGACCCTTGCGACAGTTCCACAAAAATGTGGAACAAATATGTATCGTGACATTGTGTATTATTATTATGTGTATTGTGTGTATTATTACCATTTGTATCATCTCGATTGTAAACCCTGCATCAATTCAGCACTATAAGGCTGTGATTGCATGGGTGGTGTTTGGCCAATAAACCATTTATTATTATTATTATTTAAAACTAGTAAACAGCACAAACTGTGCATACCTCTGCGCCTGCCTGCTGCCAGTCCTGTGTCAAACCTGACCTCCTTCTGCCTGGTGATCTCCACCTCCTGAGTCAGCTCAGCAAACCTCATCACATGCTACAGGACAAGGACAGGGCAGCAAACTTAGCACAGAAAGGAAAATTACTCATTGAAACGGGAAGGCACAACCGCATTCCTCTCCAGAATAGACTCTGTCAAAACTGTAACATGAATAGAATAGAAGATGAACAACACTTTATTTTAGACTGTACTTTATATTCTAATGAAAGATCAGTGTCTTTTTTAATCATAATAAGTCAAAGAGAAGTTCCCATACTTTGAACAGCTAAGTGCAAATGATAAATTTATATTTTTGATGCGTCTAGACAAACCCTGTATCACAAACATGATCTGTTCCCACATTTTCCATTGTACAAAAAAGCGAGAAGTTGACCTCTCTTTATTACTAGCTCAGTGACTAGAACACTTTTTATTAGCCTAGTATAGTACCCTATGTCTAAGTCATTGAGTAGTGCATCTTTTGTCTCCACTTTTCTATATACGTTTGTTATGTGTCTGTTAAGTCTTGACCTGTACCTAGACCGTCGTGGCATGAATGTACAATAAAGGTATTTCATTTCATTAAAAATTAGTCCTACTCTCCAAGCAGAGGTTTGGGTGTTGGGGTATTTTTAACATGTTTTCAGGCTTTTTTATCAGAGTTTCTTTTTTTCACTGGAATTTTTCTTTCACCCAACCAACATCTCCCGGCAGTCAAAAGCTTCAATATGCTATAAACCTAATCACTTCAACACATTACAGTCGGTCAGCAAGGAGGTGTGAACCAGACGCATGAATAGGCACAGTCAGCAGGAGGCGTGTGGCTGAATGAATGCCCTTCTGACTGGCTGGATGTGTGATAATCCACCACAGTAAAATGGATATCCCTAATGATAATTTGATGGTTCCTGGGGAGGAGCATGGGCGATAGGCCACCGAGTTTTTGTTGAGATCTTTGTTACTTTATTTTAAATACATGTATATACTTCTATAGGTAACTGAAGAACAAGTTCACTGTGCACTCCGTACAAGATTCCCGAGAATCATACCCTGAACATATAACACCGTGAACACGGTCCGTTTATAGATTCCCGAGAATCATACACTCAACACAACACACCGTGAACACAGTCCGTTGAAAGATTCCCGAGCATTCTCCATACCCATACATATATAACACATACTGGGTACTTGGTCGGCTGAATCACACAATAAAAAGCACATTCATTACTAAGCTGTTGCTTCCGAATCGGCGTTCTTGTTATACAGAGATAGATAGCGCAAAGGCCGACGGGAGTAGAACTGGTTTCACAGTTATTCGAACGCGTTCGCTAAACCGCTGCTCAAATCGATAGAACCCCAAGCCGGGGCTAGCGCTAGCGGTGATAACTTCAAAAAGATGACAGGGTAGGAAACACCTACCCGTGGACTGCGTTACCAACTGGGGTGGCAGCAAAAATGTGACTTAGAATCACGTTCGGTCCCTGCCTCCCCAGACTCAGAGGACAACGATATCGTACATCTAGAGATATTGGGCACAACTACACTTTCCAAATCTCGTGCCTGTGAGACATATGTAGAACTGAAAACATGTCGGTGGGGTTTGTGGACGTGTTTAGAATTAGAGTAGCCTGGCAGTACATGTACACATAGCATGTCGTATGATGTAGCCTTTCTGTGCGTCTCCATTTTTAGAACCGCGCGGGAAATGTGGGTGCCTACCGTGCGTCTGATTGGCTAGTGGTGATGTCATTGTCTTACTGCTGGTAACGCAGTTCGCCGGAAATCGGACTTTACAAAATGCTTAATTTTTACTTTAAAATATGGTATCGTGACCCTGGAAAGTTTACATGGCTACTTAGCTACCCCTAACTTATAGATAGTATCAAGACTTTTATTTTCCTTGTGGCATTTCGCAGAAAATAGGATCTTTTGAAATGGCATTTCGCACCTAGTGTATACTAGTACTTAGTACCTAACCAAGCTAAAGCGTTCGGAAGTCGCCGTTCGGCTCTCGGCAATCTTCGGTATCTGTTCGTATGGTTCTTTAGAATCCACGTCATGTTGGAGACCGAGTTCACAGTGTGTTGAATGTATGATTCTCGGGAATCTTTCAACGGATTATGTTCATTCCTTGTGTAACGATATTGTGATTGCAACGGACTGAGTGAGTACATAGTGTATGCAAGGACATGATAATGTCCTTGGTGTATGTTATAACATACGCAAAACAATCAAATTGTAAAATAGTTTTTAATGGTTTACAAAACAACATATTTTTCAACAAAAACTCGGTGGCCTAGCGCCTGTGGGAGGAGCACTGTCACGTTTCTTGAATAGGCTTGCCCCGCCCCGGGGTGAGTGCCGGCAGAGGTTGGATGAAAGAAAAAAGAATAAAAGTCTAAAAACACGCCAAAAATAACTCAAAACCCTAACCTCTGCTTCAAGAGTAAATTAGTCCCTCAAATGGAATGAATACTACAAAATTATCTATCTAAAATGTTGCCAACTTTAGGATGTACTGGAAAGAATACCCGTGTGTGTGATGGTGAAATTGTAGACTATTTTGTTGTTTTATTTTGATTCATATTATTAGTTGATCAATTTATTTTACTATTTTTAGCTAAGGCCACACCAAAGAAGACCAGAAACAGGCCGAACAATGACCAAATCATATGCTGGCATAAAAGAAAATAATTTCAAACACATCCTGCGCACGATTTGACTGATGATAGTACTTGTGTACATGGTGTACAAAACATGCCTCAAAATGCATGTAACAAGTCTATCAAAAGTACAGTCGAACCTGTACTAGCGGCCACCCTTGTACAGTGGTCACTTGGCCATAGCGGTCAGTTTTTGCCGGTCCCTTGAATTTTCCCTTTGACGTAAGCATTAAGAATTGTGTCTATAGCGGTCACCTGTTCAACGTGGTCAGCTAACAGGCTGTTTCTCTATATAGTGGTCACCTGGCCATAATGGTCATATTTGGCCAGTCCCTTGAGTGACCACTATAGACAGGTTCGACTGTATGTTAACAGTGTTCTTACGTAAGTAAATATCCTGAGTACTTACTATAGTTTCCTCATAGTCTGAGGCGCTGGGGTTCACACATATCACCATCCGGACTTTTCCTTCTCCTTCAAAGTAGTTCTTAAACAAATGTGTCACTTTGGAGTCCCGGTATGGCACGATCTGGAGAGGAACAGAACTGCAACTCAGAGACAGTCTTGAAGTACTTAGCTTTCTTACAAGTTACAATGTACATATTAACATTGCTTATATTAGAAATGCTTATGGAATACATGGACCAAATAAAAGTGGCTTTCCAGTGAACATTAGAAAACTGGCTCATTCAGATAATAGTCACTCCTAGTGCTGTGTACCTAAACCCACATTTAGGTTCAGGTCCGGATTCAAGTCCAGAGGTTTAGGTTCAGTTCCGGACTTGTAAGTCCGGACCTAAACCCATGGCATATACAAAATTGCATGTTGGCAACCTTGCAATGTTGTTTGGGCAAAACTTTGGCCACATAACATGGAGGCCGACACTTTACAATGCCCGAAGGCAATGTTTTCTTCATTTTGCAGCAAAGATTTTGCAATCTATGGAAGGTTTTAGGTGGTTTGGAAAGAAAAGGGGTATGTGAAATGGTCTTTTATGGTAATAAGTCCGGACTCGGTTCTTGACTTTTAGTTTTTTTTGGACTTGAACCTAAACATTATTACAAGTTCGGATCCAAGTCCAGTGAACCGGTACGCAGCCCTAGTCACTCCCAGGTGTACTATCATTGCAGAGTAGACAAGAAATTCAGGGGGACTTCTCTGGATCGAAAAGCTGGGACGTGTGCCTGATAAACAAAAGAAGGGCTGACATTCTGATGTTGATTGTTTTTCTATTGTCCCAAGAATGTCCCAAAGTGTGTTTTAAGTTGTCTCAGGCTAACTTTCAGCGGTCAGTGGCCATTGGACCACCTTTAATTTTGAGCCCTGTACTTATGAATTACAAACCTACCCTGTTGGAGTTTGTTGTCTGATTTTCCCTCAGGACCTCTATACAAGTTCTCAGCACCATCAGAGAGGCGTTAATATTACCTGCACAGTAACAAACAAAGGTCTTATTAAATATCACATAGAATATGTCTGATTGACGGCTTATTGCAACAAGTTACAGAGTAATGATATAAAATCATCAATTGAAAGACACAGTTCAAGCCGAACAGCAACTAGAAAGTCTTCTGTATGCTTTTAGATGGCAGACTGGTACTGAAAATAACTTAAGAAATCAGCCGAAAAAAACTTAAGAAATATGTTTTCGTACAAAAATGTAGGATCCCGTAAAGATGCCCTTATTTTTCCAGACTTACAAGACAAAAATGTTGCTGTAACAAAAGAAAACACTTGGCTGTATTCCTCGAAATCTGTACTGAAAAATGTACACAGCTTGCAACGTTTGCTTTGCTGTGCTAAAGTAAAGGCATACAATAGAAAAAAAGGACACCCAACACAAATCCTAGCTAAAAGCCTGTTTGATGCAGATATGAGGTCAGAGTGAAGAGGTTTGAGATGAGTACTTACTGGCCTCCCGTAGCCTGTCTCCAGTGTTCTTGGTGCGGTTGGTTCTCTCACTGCCTGCCAGGTCTACCAGGGCCAGCTGACTCACACAGACCTGCGCCTTATCCTACGGCAACAACACACCTAGTCAACTCTGCAGTCTGGAACCAGATAGAATGCTAGAACAAAAGGTGGGCTACCACAAGTATTGCAGGGCAATACATATACTAGTGCACCTACTATGCAAAAATCTATATCATATTAAGAAGATTTTCTAAATGTACATGTATCTTGTATATCCAGAGAAGACCAGAAAACTTCAAAATTGCATGTAAAATTTTTGGCAACATGCGTAAATAATGTATTTCAATAGTAGGACGAAATGAAGTGTATGCCTAAAAAGCAGCAAAGTTTTATACCTTTGAGAAAAATCATGGAAGAAAAAAAGACCCTACATTTTAAAAGAGTATAATGGTGCTGCAGTGGTAGTATAGTGGTACACCAGGGAACAGTTATTCTCCTGATATTTTCAACATCCAAAATTGCAAGTTCAGAATATTTTTATGTGCAAATCTTAAAAATAACCTGCAATTGCACATGGGTATTTCGAGCCCTGTATTTTGGGCTATTCCGTCCGTTAGATGACATACAGAAAATTTATTTACTAGAAGTAACATTTGCAAAGCAAATGCATGTTTACCTTCGGATATGGTCTGCTTTGTTAATTCTTACTCAAACACATTCACATCTATGTATATGGTGACAGGAGTCTAAATGCCTACTATGAAATTGCAACATTATGTAACCCAACATCAGTTACTATGGTGACAGACGTAAACAGAGGCCATTGGCCAGGTCAGAGGTTAGTGTTTGGAAGAGAAGAAGAAATGGAGGAAAAACAATGTTCGGTAAACATAATGATCCCTTGCAGAATGTTTTTTTGTGTCTGACCTGTAGAACCTCCTCTCCCTCAGGGTCCAGAGGAGCCTGGGCTACTCGGATCAGGAACACGCTGTGGCTGCGACTGGACGCCATGTTCAGCTGGGTGTGCGCGACGCGGCGCCGCTTCTGTCCCTTAATCAGCTGTTCACACGCCTCCTCCGGGTTCTTGACCTCCACCTCGGTGGCTCCGTACACGTACATGTTGTGGTTCAGGTCTTCTCGCAAGATCTTTGACTGGGGCGCTCTGTCAGGAGACAGGTTCTCACATTAGACACTTATCAACCATAAGGCCACACCAATTTAATTTGTTGTTTCTAGATTTTTTCAAAAAAATTAGGAGCAACAGTCTGGGCAAAAAAAAAAAAGGCCAAGGCACCCCATGATAGCCTGAAATGTTACAATATGAGCAATGAAGTGAACATACCAGGCTGGTTTATAATTAAAACAATAGATTTTGAACTTTTAAAGAAACAAAATTGCATTGTTACATTGAAAAAAAGTAGGAACTAGGAAGAAAAACTAGGAAGAAAAGGACTTGTTTCAAGCATTGGGGACAAAATATTTTTTCATTGAGCATTTTGCAGTTAATTTAGAACAAAAAATTTTTTTTTGCAAATTGGAAAAAAATGGACAGGGCGATCCGAGAAGCAACAAATTAAACTGGTGTGGCCTAACAAAGCTAGGTAATCATGTGGTCCTAAATAACTTGAGCAGGGCTCAAAATACTTTTTTTCTGCATACACGTACCTGCACTGGTGCAAGTAAGATTAAAAATTACCTGCACCGGACAAATTTTTCCTGCACTACTCAGACTTAGAGAAGTATGGATCATACTAAAAAATTTTTAAACTTCACTGACTGTTGGACAGGCCATATTATTTACTAGCCTGAGTGTCAGCCTTTTTAGCTTTCGTCCACTCCCCATGATTCTCTATACCAGCCACTGTACTATAAAGTATAATTATAGCGAATTGTTGGAGAGCAGACGAAAGCTAAAAAGGCTGACACTCAGGCTAGTTTTGAACACCTTTGGGGGTTGTGGCCTATTTCCTCTCCCAACACATCTACAAGTCTACAGTTTTGTACTTGGAACAGTTATTTTAGTAAAAATGAAGCATAAATAACACATTGTTTACAAACATCATCATTATAAAAGCAGCAAATACTGTGAAGTAGCTACTAGTATATGCGATATACACGGTAAACAATAATTGGCATCCAAACAAACAAACAAACAGCATCCAAGAACAGTAAAAAAGCTAGAGAAAACCAGAAAAACTACAAGAAAAGCTGGTAGCAAACCTCAAGAACAATCAAATTTTTATTCATCAAAAATTATATCAAAATTTTATGCGCTTACAAAATTCTGATAAGCCCAAAATTCCAACCTCAAAATCTTATTACACATTGTAGTACTACAATGTATAACAAAGATTTGATCATTTTTCTGACACCCAGTTGTCAAGAAATTATTAACATTGAATTGAACATGCTGTTATGTTTACTTATGTAAAGATATGAAATGTATAGTAGTCTAGTATACATTTCATATCTTTACATATGTAGCATACAAAAAAATTGGGTGTACTGGTGCACCCACAGAAAAAAATTGGCCGCACAGCTCCAATTTTTTGTGCACCAAGGTGCACATGCACTCAGTATTTCGAGACATACTAGTATGCATAAACAGACAATCAAAAAAGTCATTGTGTATGCGTAGGTGTTAACACAAGCCAGCAGCAGGATGTAACAAGGTGTTAGCAGAAGCAGCAGGGAAACCAAACAAACACATCTGCACCAACAGGGCGCTATACTTACATGCCATTGCCATCATCACTCTGAAATTTGAATGGTGCTCTGTGGGAAGAGAAATTACTAAAACTTTTATTATAAGACTTCAGATAAATTATTCAGAGTTAGTGAATAGAAGGGCTGGAAGTACCGGGTAATATTACTCAGGGAAAAGCAGTATCAAAGAACTGTATCGAAACCATACATGCAATATACTACATGTAGGTACATACGGTTAGTACTGTGCATGTAGATATATAGGATATCACATACAGGGGGAGCAAGAATATGGTGATATGGAGTATAATTATGTAGAATCCAGTTTATAATATTTCAGTGCCACGGAGAGAAAAGATTGAACGTGGAAGGAATTGGTGGATGGAAACATGTCCAACATTACTGACAAAGTTCTGGACTTTCAGTACATTGTATATTTTTTCAGCAACATGTTCAACAGAAAGTATGTTTGAATTTGATTCTTCACCTGGGTGTGGAAGGGGCACTTGTGGGGGCCTCTTCCAGCAGGTCATAGATGTAGTTGTTGTAAATCTCAATGAAGGACACAAAGACAGCATACGCATTGTCCTCATCCACAGCCTCCACTTTAGTGGGGTCAGCAACATAGGGGAAGTTCTGCCAGTCATCACCAGCATTCCTACAGGATAAACAAACATGTCAACAATCACTATTAAACTACCATGAGAGAGAATACCAGTTTACCAGTCAAAAAGAACAGCTGCACACTAAAGACAGGAGTGGTTTGCATTATTTACTGATATCAGTTAAAGTACCGTTCATATAGAATACAACACGGTGTATTCCGTATCGCCCGAAGTACCAGCCCGACCGCGTGTCGGATCGCCCGACAGCCGAGGGTGATGCGGAATACACCGTGTTGTATTTTATTTATGTCATACCCCCCCCAAAAGAAAACGCGACTTTCAAGGGACCTATACCATTATTACGTCACAGTTTGTTTACCGCAATGAATGCCGGTCAATCAACGTTTATATTGTACAAGGGGTGCGTAGCGCGGTGTGTGTTTGTGTAGCGTTAGCCTAATATAAGGCTTTTAATACAGTACTACTTTCGTCTAATGTCACAACTAAATCACCCATGCGGCATGTAATGCTGCGTCAACACAACTAGATGCAGCAAAAATCAGACATACCTTACTTTGAAAACTTTGAAATGATCTTTATTCTTTAACTGACCATTCTATAATGTTCTTTAGAACAGGTCAACAAACTGTGACGTAATAATGGTATAGGTCCATTCAAAATAAGGCCAAGTTTGGTGTCCCTAAACTAAAAAATGCAACAACATCAATCCCAACGTCCGAATTCTGTATTCGAATTTTCGAAAGTGGTGCATACAGTTAGGGCAAAACACATTCAAATCTTTCTGTAGAAGTCAGGAAAGCCCGACCGGAAAGTGCGGACCGGTCCGCCCGGAAACCGTTATCGAACGTTATCGCGGCCCGGGTATGATCATGTTATACCTGCGGGTGTTGTAGGGGGTTTTGTGTTATACCTGCGGGGTGTTGTAGGGGTTTTTGGTGGTACCAGAAGGTCCTGTTGCAGCTTCCTCTGACGTTCCAACATGGCGTCTGCCTCCGTCTGTAGGTCCATTCCGTTCACCTTGTCCGGTTTGAACACCTGCGTCACCAATGTAAGAAACAACATCAGACTACTGGACTATAACAGGCTTCCAAATCATAAATAACCCTTAAAGTTTCCACTATGTTATTCCCATCATTGTCCCGAAAATACATTCTAATTGTCCTGAAGTCAGGATGGAGTGTCCTTTTGACCTATTTTAGTATTTAGGCCAGACCAATTTAATTTGTTGTTTCTCAGATTTTTCCGAAAAAATATGAAGCGACAGGGCAAAAAAAAAGCAGGCCAAGGCATCCCATGATAGCCGGAAATGTTACAATATGAGCCATGAAGTGAACACACCAGGCTGGTTTATAATTAAAACAATAGATTTTGAACTTTGAAACAAAATTGCATTGTTTCATTGAAAAACTAGGAAGAAAAGGACTAAGTTCTTCAACCGTTGGGGCCAAAATATCCTCTGTAAAAATGAAAGCGTCCCCGACGGAGAAACGCCCGTTTAAACGCCCGTTTGTAGTGGCCGTTTGTTTGGGACGGCTGCCCGTCCCTGGCGGTAAACGGGGGCAACGGACGCCTTCACAAAGGCCAAAAACGGGCCAGGACGCCTCAAACGCCTGGGACGCGTCAGAACTGTCCGTTTTCGACGGCGTCCGGGCGTTTCTTAAGGCGTTTGGGCGCCGTTTCCGACGGGCTACCGGGCGGGCTGCTGGACGGGCTCCCGGACGGGCTCCAGGGCGGGGCCGGGCGACGCTTGGGACGGCACAGGTGGGGTCCAAACGGCGTATCCGACGGCCGGACGGGTCTCTGGGGGGTGCTCAGTCATTGTGGACATTTTGATCTTGCCGCTCCGACGGGGTTTGAACGGCGTTTCCGACGGCGTCCCGTCACAGAAGGTGCCGATATATAGAAAACATGGAGGTAGAAAAATGTTGAAAACAATTGCAGATTGGCATCGAATCAAGTAGCGGCCGCCCACATTGTAACAGTAAATACAAGTGAAGTAAATAGAGAATATCATGATAAAACGAAAACTATTTTCTTAGTCAAGAATATAAAGTAACAAATGTTGAACAGCGGCTGTAAACAGCGGCGAACATGCGGCGAAAATGGCCGGCGAAAATAACCAGCCATTGTGAGCGCACACAAACATAAAGGGCCAGGGTGTAAAATAAAAAATACAAGTTAAATATTGCCTAAGTGGACATTTTAACATCACCATCTTTCTTCATTAAAATTCGTATATTGTATAGTTATATTCTACGTAGTTTTTGTGCGTCTTGAAAATTTCGTATGAAAACAACATTGACGGTTGCGTTTGTAGATGGCAGCCGTGACGTCAGGACTTTCCATGCAGCGGCCGAACTTGCTGGATTTTGTGTAAGATTTTTCATGACATGTACCTTTTTACGGCATCATCATTACTTATTAAAACAGCAGGTATTGTACACATTTATTCTACAAATCGTTCGTCTGCGTCTTTTTATTTTTCGGCGTTAAAACAGCATGAATTTCCGTTACCAGCCCGGCGGCTCATGTGACAAAATTTAATGTGGGGAGGGCACTCGGGGTCAGGACGTCAACAAAATATAACCTCGAACTTCTCAGCAGCCCCTGGAATTAACTAATGTTCTGATGTAGCAATTGTAACACCGTCTTACACAGTTCCTTTGTAACATTTGACAACGAAAAATTCTTGTCCACTTACCGAGTCTCCTCGAAAAGAAACCGCCGAAACAGTCTCATGTACCCCCGAAATTCTGGCGGCCGCTGTTTACATTCTTGGAACACCTCGTTTGACATTTTAGTCAGTCGCTGGAGTTGCCCAAACTTGTGTGCAGTGTCGACGGAAGATATAGCTGCTTGTATGACTGAAATCCATCCTCCAAAATTGCACACAATCCAACAAAATGGAAAAAAACTGAGATCGACTGAGCACTGTGTTCCCCCAGCCAGCCCGGTCTCAGACGGTTAGAACCGTTAAATCTAGCGCCTTCAAACTTGGCGCATGTGCGTTAGAGGCCTAAAACCCCGTGGGAAACATCGTGAAGCACGTCAGTGCCGGTGTCAATTAATTAATAAACGCCCGTTTCCATGCCGGACGGTTCAGGACGGGCTGGGAGCGACGGGGTGCCGTCACTAATTTCTGGAACGGCCGTCCGGCGGGAGTTTGTGGACGCTGCCAACTGTGTTGGGACGGTCAGGACGCCGTTTCCCGCTAAGGACGGGCAGGGACGGCGTCGGACGGGCGTTTCTCCGTCGGGGACGCTTTCATTTTTACAGAGGATGTCTTTCATTGAGCATTTTTTTTGAAAATCAGAAAAAAAAATGGACAGGGCGAATCCGAGAAACAACAAATTAAATTGGTGTGGCCTTAACTTGAAACAAATGTTAAAGCTGAACCCACATATCTCTTGGCTTGCAGTTCTCCTATACTGTTGAAGATGACGTCCAGACATCTGGGCAGCAGACCGTGGTCAGCTGGTGTCCCCTGGACCGTGTGGGTTTTTCCTGACCCTGTCACACCGTAGGTGAACAGTAACCCTGACAAACAACAGAGAACAATTATCAGTCATGCAGCAGGGCTGTGTCCAAATACTGGAACATCAACAAACCCGTGTTTTGAAGGGGACATTCTGTAACCAGGGCTGGAAATATTGGGTGCATGTGCACCTTAGTGCACCCAAATTTGGAGCTGTGCACCCAATTTGTTTTTGTAGGTATTTTTGTACATGTATACTAGCATACAGGACATTCTTGGCATCTAAGTGTCAGATAAAATAATAAAATCTTTTTGTAGTACTTGCTTAAGATTTTGAAGTTAGCTCCCGTTTCAGATTCAAGCTTTTAAGAAGAGCTGCAGTAAGATCTGTAATTAGTTTTTGTTTTATATGGTGCACCCCAAAAAGTTTTTTGTGCACCTAATTTTTTTAGCTTGGGTGCACTGAGTGCATCTATTCCCCAAAATGAATTTCGAGCCCTGGTAACATATTCTCATCAAAAAATAAAATATTTTTATTGGAAAAAAAATCTTCACATGATTGTTATTTGTCCCTTTTTCAACAAATTTGTTACAAAATGTTTCTTATTTTTTTCTGACATGTATGGCAGGCAGGCACACAGTTTGTGGCACCACCACAAAATATCCGAATGTTAACAAACATGGCTGGCAGCTGTGTTTATCAGTGTACAAAATACTTTTTTGACGCAGCTTGCCCAGCAATTTTTCTTCCATAAATCGGGTAATATATTTGTCCAAAAGCAAACAGGTACAGTCCCAAAGCATTGTTGAACTTTCTTTTGGATCATTTTAGCTGAAATCTAAAAAAAAAAAAGAACTGAAACTTACTGGAAACACAACATTTACCCAGGCCTAAATGTCCAACATGTAACACTGATGACTATGACTCAGTATGAGAGATACCACTAGTGGTAGTTAGTGCTGTGTACCTAAACCCACATTTAGGTTCAGGACCGGATTCAAGTCCAGAGGTTTATACAAAATTGCATGTTGGCAACCTTGCAATGTTGTCTGGGTGAAACTTTGGCCACATAACATGGAGGCCAGTACTTGACAATGTCCGAACGGTCCAGCGAACCGGTACACAGCACTAGTGGTAGGTACCATGATCCTCACCATTCTTGCCCTGGATGACGTCCTGTACCAGGGGCAGGGCCACCATGTCAAACAGAGTCTTCTGTGACGTCTCAGGAGGAAACACAAACCTGAAGGTGTGCTGGGTCTGGGGAGGGGGGCAGGAGGAAGGATGTGTCATTATGGTCGCAGTACACAGTATTTATGGGCGAACCCCGTAGTCAAACGTAGTACGGGCACAAAGTAGGCCGGCATATACTTGAGACAGGCGCAGAGATTTTTGTGTGTACGACAGCGAGGCGGCTACTGTGGTACAAAGTAGTCAGGAATACGTCAGGTTTGAGACTGTAAAAGTTGAAATTTGATCTTTGTTCGGTTAGCGTAGATTTGCGCCTTTATTATGTCACAGCCTCAAAGTGCTGTGCGCTTGCTGCAGTTCCATGACCTTCCGCATAGCTCTTTTAAAAGATTTTGTTACGAGTGAACTAGCCAACAAACTTTAGCCCATTTTCACATATTTTGTACATTATACCTAGGCCTTGAACTCAAACATACTCAAGTTCTGTACCTAACTTTTGCACCCTACTATATTTTCTAACACGTCGAAGTAGGTCACTTTGGGGTTCTTAACTATAGAAATCCCCATAGGCCTGCTCCCTTATAATGCACAGGATTCATGGTTCTCATTCATGAAGGAGGCACACAAATATCAAACTTACCCAGTCAGTGTTTGAACCTAGCCTCCTTTGCAGGCATTTGGGGAGCAGTAATTTTATGCACACAATTTTCTGATCAACCATAGTAAAAGTAGCATGCCATGCCTGGTCCAGAGCTTTCAATGCGTGCACTCTACATTTGAACAAAAAACCGTGCAAGTTGCAAATAAGCCCCTCCCCCTCCCAAAAAGCTGGTCGCTCCCAGAACGCCTGCAAAGGAGGCTATTTTGAACCAAATTAGCTTATTTATAGAACCATTACATGTGAAGAAAAGGAAGCCTCCTACTTACCTCTTTTAGCTCCCCTATCCTGTTGACCCTAGCAGCCTGGAAAACAAGGGAAACACAAGAATGACAAAATCCCCTAGGATTGTCTATTTAGTACTAGTAAGTGACATGATATTATGTCAAACAAGATTGTGGTGACCTAAAAAAATTTCAGGCTTGCTAGAAGTAGAACACTGCATGACTTTAAGGCCACACTGACTTAATTTTATGAATGACATCCGCTGCTGACCCCAAAATGGATTATGGAGGATGGTACCCAGGCTGCAACCTCAGATGATATTTTAGAGCAGGCAAAAATCTATGCGTGTGCGGATGTCGTCCATGAAATTAAATCAGTGTGGCCTAACATACCAGTGGAAGAAATATATTTTTTCAGTGTTCTGCAATATTGTAGAATGTCACAATTTTGTTCTGCAATTCAGAAATACTTTCTGCAAATACACACTTGTAAGTAGGAACCTAAACCCATGGCATATACAAAATTGCATGTTGGCAAACATTTTACATGCAATTTGAAAAATACATGCAAAATTATTTGTACATCTATGATAGTCAGTAGTAAACAGATAAGTTCTTTAACAATATTATGCCAACAGCCCAACACCATTGCACCCAGGGTTCTCCCCAGATGATGGAACAAGGGCGCTGCGCCCTGATACTCCTCATCATCATCGGTCGACCGTATTCGGTCGGGGTTATACCGCCCCTTACGAGGTGGCATACCCTTTCGTTAGCTTAATACAAGACGGGGTTCGCCACGCCTCCGTCCGGGTGATGATGTAATCACCATGTGTGGTGATGTAATCACCATGTGTGGCTGATACGGAACAGAGGTTCGCCAGGCCTCCATTCGGGTGATTTGAAGTGAATCACCAACTCCATACAGTAGTGTTTGTACCATCGCACACCGGGGCATGCCCCTACTCTTTTTCGAAAGGTGTGGTGGGATCTTTAACGTGCGTGGGGTGTGGCTCTCCCCAAACACGGGACCTCCATTTAACGTCCTATCCGAGGGACGTCCCTAGCCGAAGCTAGGTACTCATTTCCACCTGAGTGAAGTGAGGAAAGTCGTGTAAAGTGCCTTTCCCAAGGGCACAAGATCGGTGACAAGGTGGGGTTCGAACCCACGACCTCTGGAGTGTGAGCCGAACGCGCTACCGATTGCGCCACACGACCCCACTGATACTCCTAGCTCAGCGCCCTCATACTCATTTTCAAATCTAGGGTGTTGCATCCCGATTTTTCTACAAAATTTCGCTAAAATTCGATAAAATTTCCTGATTTCGGGGCTTAGTGGCGTCTATTTTCCCGCCGGCATTGTCTCTGAAAACTTGTGAATGGGGCGATAATCGAGTAAACAATGAGTATTTCGCACGACGCTACTGAGAGAATCGCTGTCATTGGTGGAACATCGGGGGCCCGCTAGCGTTTTGAAGTCGTGTAAAGAAAGCTAATTGTCTGATTTCTTTGTAAACCAAAGCCCTCGACCCTGATAATAACTTTAAAAATAAAAGCCGATACGTTTACGAACTTATAAACCGTAGAAAATTCCCTACCGTACCGCGACATTATGAAGCATGTGGCGGCCGCGAAATTCGTTGACGCGACAGAAAATGTCTGGTTCATGATAGCGGTATTTCCCATGAAAATAACGTATACGATTTATTTTTCCCCTGCTGTCGGTTTTTAAGTCCCGAAACGTTAAAAAAAAGCTGAATTTTGCCCACAAACCCGGACGGGGGACGGCCTGTACCTATCGGCGTAGCACATGGCGGCCGCACCGCAAGGCTTCTGCCAAAAATCGGCAACGCGACAAAAAAATGCATGGTCCATTTTAGCGATATTTACCATAAAAATAACGTATGTGGTTTATTTCTCCCATGGTATGAGTTTTAAGGTCTCAAAACCTCTAAAAAAGCAGAAATTTGCCGACGAAAACGGACGGGCAAGGCATGGGGAGGGCGCTGTTGACGCCTGCATGACCCCCAAAAGGTCGAAGGTCATAGGGCACGTCCATTGCGCAATCACCTTAATTCGCCGATTTAGCTAATTTTAGGGCGTTTGAAAATTGATACAATCACATTATCGACTTGTAGACAAGCAAAGGGATAGAAACCAATAAAATGTTGTGCAGATTAATATTTTTTTCTTCAGATTTCTTTTTTTTTCTTCTTTTTTTTTAAATTCTAAAAGTATTTTCTTGAATGTGTAACTTTGTTAGTCCTAAACATGAGACCGATTATTTAATGTTAGAGAAGTGAAATTTTGTTTTGATGGTACTCTTGATGGTACTTTGATAATTATAAGGGACTTGTTTACAAGTTGGTGATAACATAAGGATTAGCATTAGGATAAGGTTTTGTCCCAGCTTCTCTACATTTTTCCCATAATTGCTTGCCTCAAGTTCCAAGTGGAAAATGTATGACTTAATGTCATATTCTGTTTCGATTGTCGAACTTGAAGGCACCGTTGGCCCCCGGTTAGGGGTCAGAGCGTGGAACCTATGCCCAA